TTTAAATAACATACAAAAAAATTGTAAATGCTTCCGTAAAAGTTTAATTCAGTGTCTAAGTGTACCTATCCATGCCAACACATTCCAATGATACGAGTATAATATTAGAAAAATTGTTTGGTTGCAAAATCAAACAGATTTTCGAGTATTCAAGCAATCATCAATTGTTTACGCAGTCAGTTGAAATTCTTTCGTGTAAATAAACAGTGCTTTGTTGCGGAATTTGTATGAAAAATGTCAGCAATAACTACGCTGTTGATATTTAACAAAGCACAAAAAATACATATGTATATGTCGGTCCCCACCCCAAAATGCGGATAAACTCAGCTAAAAAATGTAACTGACATTAACACCCCTCAAAACATAACAATGCAGGGAGGCAACAGCTGTTGTTGGTGTGTGACAGAAGGCATAACAAAATATCCACTATTAAATACATGTGAATGTATGTATGTGTATGCATTTGCGGGTGTACTTCACTGCTCAAGAGCGCTTTTGGAAAATAAATTGGGTTGGTTGGCTCGAGAGATGCTCATAAAAAAGCAGACGATTTTTTTTTTTTATTTCAATGTTTATACACTTGACCTCATATTGTTTTGGTTGCGTATACCTTCTGTACTTTTAACATACTTTTCTTATTATTATTTTTTTATGTCATACATAAAAATTGGGGTTAAACAATTTTGACGCTTAACATCATTTATCCACTCTTACTATTTTCGCTTTGTCCCAAGTGGTTATGACACTTAATGACAAGTGCACATGTTTTTACCCCTAAATGTATACTAGTGGGTTAGTGTAAATATTTGCTAAGTTGAGTTTGAGTATTTTCCCTGTTCAAACTAGATTTGTGATTGGCGTCAAAAAAAGGACTGGACAGTATGTTTTATCTGTTTGGAGTGAAGGGACAAAGGAAGGTTGCAGATAAGTTTGATTTGCTAGCAACAAAATTTATTATGAAACACTTCCTTATAGCAATTGTAAGTTGTTTTTGGGGAAAGGGATAGGGTGTTTTTGTAGAAAGTTTTATCAATATTTGTAAGTAAAACGTTAGATATTAAATCTTTTTTGTTATATAGTGTTATTTGCAGTGGAAATATAGTTTAAGACCTTTTCGGAGTAACTACGAAAAATTCGGAAAAATTCGAAGTAGTTGGGTAACCCATTTGTAGGAAAAAATTACTATCATGTGTTTACTGCAGGGTATACCTCACATAATGATCTTATAGTGAATTCGGAGTGGTTGAATGAACATATATGCCTTATATAGCCGCAAGCGTCTTTTTATGAATGCTATTTCTGTAAATAGTCTCAATTCAACCAGCTACAGACGAAATTAAAATGATTATTGAAATAAAAATTTGCTTGCATTGAAGTTTTCACTCACAAATAAATATGTACATGCATAGATTGCTAATAACACCCCTTCCATATCCTTCCTACAAAATCCTTTTTTTACACTTCTGCTCCAACTTTGTAGCACCTAATTTTCGTAATACAATTTTCATGAACTAACATTTTTTGCATTTATTTTTCTTTCCCCCCACTCTCTCTCTCCCTTAATGACATTTGTCATCAGTAAGGAAAGTTTTCTTTTTTGAGCTATTCAGTACGTGATTTTTTTTTCTACTTTGTGCGTACAACAGCTGTACGATTTCAATTTACTTGTAGTGAGGACACGTACTAAATATACTACGAAGGTAAGCAGCACGTAGCCTACAATGAGGCGCATGTACTTCATAATATCAACTCATCTTCGGAATATATATTCTTTGCTACTTAGAGATTTCCATTAGGTAGGACATATGGCTGAATGTAGTTGGAGAAAACTCAAAAGAAAAATATATTGGCTTTCCCTACAAAACATATGAAAAAAAAAATACTATATAAGTAAAAGAAAAATAAATTAGGTGTTGAAGCGTAAAAATAAATTGAAACCGAAAATTGAATATTCGTTGGGGGAAATAAAATGCCAAGCTGAAGATAGTACGGCGTGTTTTTTTGATTACAGGGAAATAAGGTATTACTGTTACTTCTATAAGTTTCTGATGATGATGAATTTCGTTATAGCTTTTGTTGTTGTTGAAATGTTCGTGAGGTAATTGAAAAACATCTGTATGCTTTTTGAGGCCAAGGCATTTTTATTCATTTTTTCTTAGTGTATTTGAGGAAGAAAAAATTTATGAAAATACAGCACAGATAGGATAAGTTCAAGAAATACTTGTTGGGATAAAAAAATATACATGCTTTAATTTTTTTCATAAATTTTGGAGAATTTAAAAAATTAGGAGTAACTCCGAAAAATTATGAGTAACTCCGAAAATTTTGGAATGATGGAAATAACCTTAGAACTTGAAATAGTTGCTTCTCCCAAACGCAAAATATAATAAGAATGATCTTAACTTCGCTGATATCTAAAAGAACCTATTTCCTGATCTTTAAATTCGATCGACACAAAAGCAATTTTGAGTTATTTAATTTATCTTCCGGGCTCTAAATGAAGGCTATTACCGTTTTTCGAATCTGATGTTAATATCTAAAGAGTATGCGTATCCCAACTTAATCAGTAATGCGCAAAGACCAGTGTTGCCAAATATGTGAAAGCCTTGTGAAAAAAATTTTGAAAACTAATTAGTTCGTTTATTTAAGTAGCCAACCTGGCTTAGTACATAGTACATAGTAAATGTATGAATTTTTGGGTTAGGAACTTTTTAAAATTCTCTTGATTTTATATGGACGCGCACTGAATAAAAGTTGAGAATCCCTGATTTGGGTGCATGCATTTTTAATAAAATTTTAATGACATTATGAAATTCTGGGTTTGAAAAATTCGGAGTATTTCGGCAAAATTCGGAGTGAATGCAAACAATTCGGAGTAGCCGAAGAGTAAATATTTCCGACATGGGATGCCGTTTTTTAACTTTGACAGGACTTGGTGTAATTCAGAGTAACTCGATGCATATTAGGAGCGAATATTTAAGACCGAAACCAAAAATAGTACCAAGGTATACCAAATTTATATGAAAGAAAATCTAACACAATTTACTTAAGCATAGCAAATAAATCGATATGCTTGATGATTTTTTGCTATAATTTCAAATCCAACAAATAATTTCCATTAATATAATATATCCCTTACTCTTTTTTCGTGGTTAGGGCTGGAAATATTGAAATAAATTGTATTAAAAAATCTACGAAAATCGGCTGTTTATGAGAAATAAATTAATCTTAGTTACATACTTACGTACATATATACATATATTTCTTAAGTGGTACTTAGCTCAGAAAAATTATTATTTATTTAATGCATCATCTCGAGGATGTGACCTGCTTCAATTGCGTATGCGGAAAAAAAATGTATATATTTGCTTGTGCTTGTAATTAGTTAATTATGACGAAGGTACTAAAAAGTTAACTGACTTGAATTAGGCACATTTTAAATGTAAATTATACCTTGCGCTTTTGTTACAGTTTGTAATGGATTTTATTAAGTACGTTACCTAAGACAACTGAAGTCTAAAGTAAATCGACATGTTGTAATTTTATACAACAACATAAAATATATTTCGCTCTAAATGCATCTCGTGTGGATTGTTCACAAATTTTCACCTGGCATTGATTGTGCAAAATCAAGTTCTTTATAAATTTCAGTTAAATATTAAAAAAAATTCTTGTGGTTGGGTGCTCTAAAAATTTGTATGTATTTTAATAAAATAAAAAATAAAAATATTTAGGTAGTTAAAACATATCTTAATTACTTTAGAATTTTTTCTACGATTTAAATTTTTTAATTTTTAATTTTTTAATTTTTAATTTTTAAATTTTTCAATATCTACAATCAAAAACGTTAGTTAGCGAAGTGAGATTTTTAGTGTTCCATTTAAATTTAAATTTTTTATAACGGTTCAGATTTTTTCTCTTTTTTTAATTTGCAATAATTTTCTAATTTTCTTTGGCATTTACACAAAACTAATAAAAAATCTGTTTGCGTAGACGCACTTTGTACTACATACACACATTCGTATTTCGAAGAAACTACAAGTAATTTTTAAGCAAAAAACAAAACCTATTTTAATTCTCATATAAAAAAATATGTATATATATATATATAATGATCGGATCTAAACCAGATTAGTATGGGACCACCTCTGACACACTACCTTTCCGATGTGGTCCAAAGTTATAAAAAATATTCCGACGAACTGATAACCTCCTCCTTTTTTGGAAGTCGGTTAAAAAGAGGACGAAATATTAGCCCAGCTAATGGAATGTGATGTTTCCAGGAGACTTTTCTGGCCACAATTTTTCAGAACCCCAAAATTCCGAATGGTACACATATGTCCCACCCCTCCTAGGCTGCTCCTTTTATAATTTTTATATTTGTATTATCCCCAAGCTTAGCAGATAACTAAAAGCGAGACTTCTCCTTTGGTTGGTTTCCGGATCGAAAGGGTTAAATAATGGAAGCAGTATTTTTTTCTAAAAATTTTTTTTTTAGTTTTTTTTTAATGTTTAATAGATGCAACCAAAAAATGCTATTTTGTTAAGTGAAATTTTTTATAATACTTTAAATTTTTTTAGTTTTCAATACAAAAACAAAAAAAATTGTGTCGTTAATTGAAATAGTAATTATTTTTTGTATATTTTTACTTTCTTCTATAATGGTTTAAAAAATTTAATTTTAGAAATTTTCAATACAATTAAACAATTTGATTTAGTTGAAAAAACTTTAATTATTTTATTTATACATACTTTTGTTTTGAATTTTTCTATGGAAATACAAAAATTGGTACTTTTTTACATTTTCCAACCAAAAACAAAAAAAAAAAATATTCAGTGAAACGCAATATTAACTTCATATTTAAAGGTTTAAAAAGTTAAGTTTTTTAAATTTTAACAAAAATCAAAAAAATTTAAATATTCATATTAATATTTTAAGGAACGTACATATAGTTTTTCATTTTTATTTTATATATTTTTTAACATTACAGAATACTCACAATAAAAAGCAATGATTTCAGCGACAACATTTTTAAAGATTTAAATTCCTTCCAAAAAGTGTTATGCTCGAACAACTTTCAAAAGTGGTGAAGACCCTGCTGGCAGCACACTGGAATCGTTTTTGACAGTTTTCAATTATAATATTCAAAAAAAATATCCTTTTGTTAATATTCTGTGATTTATGCTGATGTCAATCTTCGTTTGAGTACTAAACTTCACTAACTTCCAATACACTGCATTCACATAACACTTTTGTATTTGCAATAGATGCTGGCTTTTAGCAAAACTCTGCACAGTTCACAAAGGTTTATTTAGTAGTAAAACAATATATGTTTTTATGAACCAACAATTAAATGTTCAATTTCAACGTTTTTTCCGCTATTTTCGTTACCGGGTTTGCGACTTAAGTCTTTCGTTTGGCGGCACCGCTGCTACTTTTTAGTACACACGATCGCTTTGAATTAGGGTTCCACACGACGATGCAACGCTATTTATAACGACAATTGCCCGACAGCGCAACAAAGCAGCCGCAACAGGCTGCGAAGAAGCGCGGCAGATGAGCGACAGCAACAGCAGCTGAGGCTGAGACTGAGACTTAAAATGAGGAATATAAATTGAAAAAAATAAGCTAAAAGTCATCTATGAGCTGCAAGCGGTGGGTGATTTAGCGCGTTGCCAACTATAAATAGCTATGTGCAAAATATCTAATATAACTATTTTGTAGAGAAGCAACAACAACAACAAACAAGAGCTGCGATAGTGACTGATGACTCCAGTGTGGCGGCGAAGCGCACTCATCTTCTTTAGAGCTGAGTGAGGCTAAGCAGCAGCAATTGTAGCACGAAATAGCAAAATATACAATACAGCAACAACAATGACAACAAGCAGCTTCAACAATAAGCAGAGCAATAACAGTTGCAACAACAATAGCGACAAACAATTGCAGCGAGCGATCAGCAGCAACGAAAATGAAATGAAAATAATTTAAGTAAAAACAAAGTAAAACGAAGAAAACAAATAAAAACCAAAGCAAAAAAAAAATTGTATGACAACATTAAAGAGCGGCAAACAGTTTCAAACAAAATTAGACGACGAAAACAACAACAACAACAACAACAAATAACAAGTGTAACGAAGCGCCAACAGCGAGTTTCATGCCAGCCACATACAATAGGAGTATAACAATGCTAAAAGCAACAATACATCTACAACAACAAACGGCATCATCATGTTGGTAGCGTTTTCTAGTATTTAGGAGCAGCTGGGGTATCTCACCGTGAAATATTCAGATAGGTGCGCTCTTCATAGCGCCTTCTTCGGTTCGAACAATTGAAGCTAGCAGTAGCAGCCGCAGCTGCAGCTCAGCTGACGTCGCTGTTGACGTTCAGGCAGCAAAAGGTAGCTTATATTTATTTAGAATAGTGAGCGTTAAGGCACCGTTCGTTTTTCAAATAAGCGAATGCAAAGTATTAGTAACCGTGCGCGTGTATGTATGTGTGTAAGGGGTAGGGGGTACTTAGCTTCACACGTACTTACACTCACACAGTAGCAACAGCTAGCTGGATCACTACAATTGATCTTCTAGAGCAGCATAATTGTGAGCGCGCCGCGAAGCAACCGAAAAAATTGAGTCTATATTGGCAACAACAAAACAAAAAGAAAAAAAACGTGGCAACACACCTACGAAAATATGTAATAGAAAAAAAAATTTTGAGGAAGCAAAAAAATAAATTGAAATAAAATTAATTCAATAGCAAAGCCCATTTTCCGCTCAATCAACTGGCTGAACGCCGTCAGCGAAGTCGTTCGCTTTTTTGCTTTTTTAGAATTTGCATCAAAAGCACAGCGCTCGAATCGCTCACATCAAATGTCCATAACAATGGCAGTGTTGCCAACTATTTATTGTGCAATAGTTATTGCATGCGCATACTGATACGTAGATAAATGCACATACTTCTTTACATACTGATGTTCTAAACCTTTTGAAATTTACATAAATATTCAATATTGCAGAGATTTACTCATTCTCTTATTAATACTAAAGGCATAGAATACACTAAGTAAGAATGCGATATGTTCTAAATTACTCTGCTCTCTTTGCGTTCTAACTCGATTTGCTACTCTTCTTTGCTTGTTCTTTCACTCTGGGGAATGCCAATTAGCAAGCTATGTTTGATATGGTATGGGTCCTTGAAAATTGCAAAATTTATTGTCTTTATGTTTGTACGCGCATCAACCGAAAACTAAAGCATAGAATCGAATGGAATTTTCCCCGGTGTATTGCTTGAGGTTTAACTTAAAATATAGAATAAAAAAATTAGAGAGTTGCCACCTGTTTAAAAATTGCAGTTAAGGTATATTGATAAGATAAATAAAATATTGCAATGTGGCTGTCATAAGAATGATGTTTAAGAAGGATTATAGCCGAAAACATTTTTATGGAAGGTTGCCCCCTCTTGCAAATTTCAATTTAATTTAATTATTTAGAAGAATTATATAGCGCATTACGGGTATCAAGATAAAGAGGTTTAGGAAAGCTTACTGCCCGAAAATATTTTTGATGGGGGTTGCCACCTGTTCGAAAATTTGTATTAAATTAAATTGATAAAACAAATGAAAAATTACAATACTGGTGTTAAACTTAAGAGATTTTAGAAAGTTTACTGTTGAAAATATTTTTGAATCGGGTTGCCACCTATTTGAAAAATTTAATTCGGTTAATTTATCAAAGAAAGAGCGCGATATGTAGGTAGACTCGAGTTGGAAAAATGCTTCGTTATGTGCATAGTTTTGTTATATTTATAGAATGCCAAAACCACGATACAACAAAAAATTCAACATTTTTCGAAAAATTTGTAATACGCATAGTTTTGTCTTTTATAACGGGGCTAATCGTTAACATATTTAGAAAACATTAGAGGCTCTTGAGTCGGAACTTCGATATATAGAACTTTTTTTGGGACTTAACCTTTTGCGAAGGTTTCCATGCTCAAAATTTCTTCGTTATACATATGCGTGGGGCATTCTTCTTGTATGGAAAATATAGCAACAACGAGGTTTTTTCAGGCATCTCAGCCAAAAATTCTGTTATACATATGTATTGAGTTTTTCGTTTCATTAAGATTCGTTATATCAAGGGTTCACTGTATATATACGTTACACGGGGCGATTTTATGATCTAGTTAGCTTTTGGAATGTCTAGAATTTTTCCCAAGAAAAGGAGAAAAATTTGTTTTTAACAAAATTCCGCCGTGACTTCGGAAATTTTATCTTTTGACTATTTTTTAAAGTCAAATTTAGCATCTGAGATATATGTAGGATCCTTAAAACTTCCAGCTCCGGCATATTGATGCACAACGTAAGGATAATTGCAAGCCAAAATTTAAACACGGAAAGGTGGTTGATTTCTTCAATGAGTATCAAATACAAATAAGTATGTCTGAGCAAATATTCATCCACAAATAAAATACTACTTTTTCCCAATTAATACTATAAACAGCAAAAAAAAAACGTAAAATCATTATCACCAATTAAATACTATGGTGACGGCCGCCCATAATCACATACACAACTCCTCCTCCATCATTCGCTGACCCTTCCGCAATCGATCACTGCGTGAGTGAGCGTTGACAAATGAATTGTACTTAATCGCCGTTCAATTGTCGCAACTACCACATAGCATATGTAATTACAGTAAATACGTACATATGTAAATAAATATGTATATAAGTATTATTTTAAGTACTTACGTATGCAATTAGGCGGCATTTTCTAAGTTTGTATATATGTATGTATTGAATATCAACCGGAATTCCAACACTGCGATCGGTACTTATTAACGGTGTTTGCTGCTTTGTGAACTTAACTAACTGTTGCATTGATTTTTTTTTTGTATGCACGTATGTAAGTATGCAGTATGTTGTCATTCGGTTTTGTTATTTTCTTCTACTGTTACTGAAATTTTATTTTGCTTGCGCATTGGCTGTTGTTGTTCGTGCCATTGTCACACTGTCTAGGGGGCGAATTGCAATTTTTGACGACCTTTTTTGATTTTTCATTCTTAATGTTTTTACTTCTGCTTTTGCTGGTAAAATTTTCATTGCAACGTTTATACATTGATCGTGACTTGGCGGTGGCGGCGACATCGTCAACTTTGTGGCTTAATGATAATGAGAAGGCTGTTGATGATTGAGGTGATGTGAGAAATGGTGATATTGGTGGTGGTGTTAACTGTAAAATTGATAGAAAAGGAATTAAGTTAAATGAATATAATAATTGCACTCATTTGATTAACTAAAAAAAACAAAAGAATATTAATACGAAATATTATTAGGTTCGATAGCTTATAACGGGTGATTTTTTTGAGGTTAGGATTTTCATGCATTAGTATTTGACAGATCACGTGGGATTTCAGACATGGTGTCAAAGAGAAAGATGCTCAGTATGCTTTGACATTTCATCATGAATAGACTTACTAACGAGCAACGCTTGCAAATCATTGAATTTTATTACCAAAATCAGTGTTCGGTTCGCTTTACGTCCGATTTATGGTCTACATAATCGACCAAGTGAGCAAACAATTAATGCGATTGTGACCAAGTTTCGCACTCAGTTTACTTTATTGGACATTAAACCAACCACACGAATGCGTACAGTGCGTACAGAAGAGAATATTGCGTCTGTTTCTGAGAGTGTTGCTGAAGACCGTGAAATGTCGATTCGTCGCCGTTCGCAGCAATTGGGTTTGCGAAACACATTTCGAACCGAACACTGATTTTGGTAATAAAATTCAATGATTTGCAAGCGTTGCTCGTTAGTAAGTCTATTCATGATGAAATGTCAAAGCATACTGAGCATCTTTCTCTTTGACACCATGTCTGAAATCCCACGTGATCTGTCAAATACTAATGCATGAAAATCCTAACCTCAAAAAAATCACCCGTTAAATAAAGCATTGTGTTCTGAAATAAAATCGGAGAACAAAAACTAAATCAACCGGAAATAAAAACTTAATCACGACGTGATTACACCGTGTAACAAATTACGACAACTGCACCAACTTTTTAA